ATGCGGTGAGTTCGAATCTGAGGTCTTTTGAGTGACTATGGGGTAGGGGTCGGGTGTGGGTGGGTGAAAGGTCAAAAAAACATCGAAAATCAATTTTTCACGGTTTGATTTATTTTCTTGAAAATGTGAACAAAATGCATTTCCGCGAAAAAGAACTAAGCGAATCGTCGGACGAGCGTTACTTGTTGTCCAATGAGACACCGAGGTTGGTAAAACCGACGAGTTAGAAATTGCGAGTAACAAAACTGTAAAATTCGGTCTTGAGAGTGTGGTTATGGATGAGGGTGTTAGTGTGAGTTGCTTCCGGGTTTGATGGATAGTGTGGAAAGGTGGATGAGGATGTAGATTTTCAAAATAATCATACCAACCAACACCACGCACTCCTTAAATGCGTTGTATGAATTAGTGAGACTGTTTTCTTTTCTTGACTGTAAGGAGGGTGTTGGAGAAAACGTTTGTCTGTTTGTCTAGAGAGGTGAAAGGAACGTTGGTGTCAACAAAACAGATTCAATCAGAATACCTTTCAAATTCCTAAGTCGTAAGTGTTTGGGAGCGGGGGATTCGATGTTACCATTGGTTTCTCGATATGCTTCCCTCGCCCCCTATATGGGAAACTATACATAGAGAGTGCCTATTCTGAAATAATCATGTAACAACAATAGACGAGTGACGCATAGAATGAAAAGCAGTTAGGATCATCGATTAGCGGCGGTGAGTCGGGAGTGGCGGACCGAAGGGACGCCGACGACCGACGAGCCGCTGCGGATATAACACTGTTCATGGGCCTGCTCATATATGATCTAGAAAACGTTTTGGTGGATTCATCGAGACACCCGGCACGACGCTGAAAATTGAGAGATATTTCAAAAAACTATGGTATAAGAAGTCAAAAGAGTGCATCTCCATAATTTGTTTTTGGAAGCATACTAGGCGCAATCAGTCGAGGGTCTAGCGAGTCGCTCCGACGCGCGTTACTTGTTGTTTACGTTGTTCAGATAGTTTCTACGTAGCACCACGAAATTCTGTCTTATTCTTTGAATTACAATCAAAATCTTTGATGAGTTTTCGCATCTGATAATTATCTTCACATCTTGAGAGTGAGAATATTTAAAAGAGGAATATCTATAATCAATTGAAATTTCATATTTTAAATTCTTCTAACGAAAACTATACAGCTTTTCACTATCAACATTCATATCTGATCATCTCATTCGATTATACTTAAACTTACCACAATATCTTTTTAAATATTTAAATTTTTGAATTCGATGATTGAATGAATCGACAACAAATATATTTTCAGAACCATCGAAACTGAAACTAAATGGACTATGCAGTTGATTGGATTGTGAACCCGTTCGATAACATCCAACTAAACATCGGAAACCATTCAAGCCTGAACCAACAATGCGACTATTACTTAGATCCACAATGAATAGATTTTTCTCAGCATCTAATATAATTCCACCTGGACAACGAAGTGTAATTGTTGGATTTAGTGATCCATTTCCAGCCACTATGATGCCATTTGATTCTCCCGGCTGAAATAACTGAACTCGATCATTTATACAGTCTGTCACATATAAATCTAAATTTATATCAACAAAGATTCCACGAGGACCTCCGAGTTGATTCGAAGCTGATCCTTTAATACCTGTTCCAGCAGCAATACGATTTGAATTCATTACAGATTTACTTAATGATCTTTTCACTACTTGATAATGATCAATCATCGAACAGTAAAGAGTATCATTGACATCAACAAACAAACCATAACATGTTGAGTTGACATTCATCACTGTGTCAAAAGTATTTGTTTCTGCACTCCATTTCTGTACTCGACCATTCCTTTGACCATCATCAATATAAATATCACCATTCGATGTGACGAAGAGAGACCGAGGTCCTGTAAAATTACTGTGAATGATCTTTATTGGATTGACACTCTCTTCATGCCATATTAGAATTGTGTCTTTTTCCTTATTAGCGACGTAGATCGTATTGTTTTTACTCACAAAAATGGCGGTAGGATTGTTACCAACAATCGATTGATTAGCAATGGTAATTCCATTAGAATTCCAAATGGCTGTTGAACAAAACTTTGGCTGATTAAATGAAAGAGCTAAAAGCGAGAAAAGTAGAAAGAATATTAGAGAAGAACGTACTGTGAACGAAATGAAATTGTTAATTTATATATTCGTAGAAGAAAAATAAAGTTTCTTCAAAGAAGTTTTTGATGAAAAAGATGTTTAGGAATGATTTTTATTGATTTTGAAATGAGATATGAAGTCAAATCATAGAATAATTTATATTAAAACTATATCGACAAAGATATGATGAGATTTTATTTCGATAAGAGCTGTTTCATTGATGAGGTGTTCTTTGAGACACACGAAACGAAACATCAAAAGTTTTCATAACATTTCATCAAAGACAGAACTCTTTCTTCCTCTATTCTTTAATCTGAACAAAAAGCGAAGATTACTTGCTTTAGATGATTGGCACATGGCTCTGTCTAATCTGAATATATCATTTCCTTAGACACATTTTTTTACACATTGATTTACTTAATCTTTCTCAACCATTTTTGTTTTCTTTCGTTTCTTATATTGAAGTATCTTTATTATCGTTTGTTACTTATCAATCCATATCTCTTCATTTCATTTAACTTTTCTTCAACTTACCAAAAGAATCGTTCATTAACAAAAATTTTTGAATTCGATGATTTGTTGTATCAGTAACAAACATGTTTCCAGAATGATCAAAACTCAAACTAAATGGTTGATTCAATCGATTGGATTGTGGTCCTTGTCCATAACATCCAACTAAACATCGAAAACCATTCAAGCCTGAACCAACAATACGACTATTGCCTTGGTCAACAATGAATAAATATTTCTCAGCATCTAATATAATTCCACTTGGACAACGAAGTGTAATTGTTGGATTTAGTGATGTATATCCAGCTACTGTGATACCATTTGATTCTCCCGGCTGAAACAACTGAACTCGATCATTTACACAATCTGTCACATATAAGTCTAAATTCACATCGACAAAGATTCCACGAGGACTATTGAGCTGATTCGAGTCTGATCCTCCAATACCTGTTCCAGCAGCAATAAGATTTGAATTCATCACAGAACTACTCAATGATCTTTTCACTACTTGATCACGAGTATACATTGAACAGTAAAGAGTATCATTGATATCAATAAACAAACCAGTACATAATGAGCTGACATTCATCACTGTAGCAAACGTATTTGTTCCTACTATCCATTTTTGTACTCGACTATTCTGCTTGCCATCACTGTCACCAATATAAATATCACCATTCGATGTGACGAAGAGAGACCGTGGTCCTGTGAAATTACCATGAGTGATCTTTGTTGGATTGATACTCTCTTTGTGCCATATTAGAATTGTTTTATTTTGTAGATTATTGGCATAGATTGTGTTATTTGTATTCACAAAAACGGCGCTAGGATATTGACCGACAATCAATCGATTAGCAAAAATAATTCCATTAGAATTCCAGGTGGCTGTTGGAGAAAACTTTGGTTGATTGAATGAGAGAGCTAAAATCAGAAAAATTTAAAGAATATTAGAGGTAGATGTGGGTGAATGTGGATGTGAATGAGAGTGTTATGCTCTTCTTATATCCAAACCTACACCCACTTTTGAGTATATAATAGAAATTCCTGTCAAATATTATTATCTATTATTTGACTCGTTTGTGTTCAACAAAACCTCTAATGAATAATGTCATTTTTGTGCAATAGCTGATCTTCAATGTGTGATAAGGAAAAGTATTTACCTGATGTTTCATTGTTGAGAATGAACAGAAGAATAATGATAAATACGTACATATTCCACATCATTCAACAAGATATGTTTCGATAAATTAGTTAACTAATAAAATAATCTTCTTCTAATTCTTCTGCCTTCGATGCAAACAGAATGACACTCATTGCAGATTTTCTCTTTAGTTATATCTGCCTTTTTCTCTCATTCATTTCTTCCAACATAGTACATAAAGAGAAAAAATAGTGTTCTAGAGAAGGTTTCATCGTAGATAAGATAAAAAATTGATTTTAGATTGGATTAATGAACAAAATTGATGATTTTATTTGATATAATTTACATTGAATTTCATTCTTTTCAAAACTCGAAAATACAAAATGGAATTTAAATTCGACATGATTCTTCTCTTTTTTTTTGATTTTATAGAAAAATCTTTGACTTTAGTGAAGAAAAACGTGATGAAGAGAAAGGAGAGAATTGATGAAAATCTGCATTAATCAACGGACGTGTTTTAACTGAAAATAAGATATCAACTATCATCGTCAATAAATGATAGACATCAATGAATAACTCATGATGAGTTTCATGTCTTTTTTATTTGATTCTGTTAAATAATTTGCTTTGTCAGGACTCACTTTTGATCACGTTCTTTATTTTATGCGCAATAAGTATTTTTGTGAAAATTTTTCTTCTTTGGGTATTTCGACCTATTTTTCTAAGAGACATGAAAAAATGCATGAATTCAACTCGAAATTCTATATATGCAAAAGCAAAACTCTGAAAATTGAGGGTGTGGGTGTGGATGAAAGTGCTTTTTTATTCCACGTAATCACACGCATCCTCACCCTCAAGAACAAAATTCAATTTCAATTCGATTTTTTTTTAAATGAAAAAGTAACTAATGTAGTTTTATGTTGAAAATTTTAATTTTATGGAAATCTTCGATCTTCTTTCGATCATTATCAACCTTTTACCACAACCTTATGACAAATTGTTATAAATATATGAACACGAAAACATGAACACAAATATATAGAAATAGTCATACACATCATAATTATAATAATAATTATTAACTTTTACATCATAACCATAACCATGAATGTTCTTAAAAACACTCCCGAGCTAAATATACTCAATTTGTTTAATACTACTATGTATCATTAATGTATGAATATGAATAATAATATTGAGATTTGTTGTAACATCATGTCATAAGGTTGTGGTAAAAGGTTGATAATGATCGAAAGAAGATCGAAAATTTCCATAAAATTAAAATTTTCAACATAAAACTACATTAGTTACTTTTTCATTTAAATTGATTAAAATCTCAAAATTATTCATATTCATAAATTCGATTTTTATTATCAAATTTTTATAAAATACTTCTTTTCTTTTCAATTTTTGAATAATTCTCAAATTTTATCAAATATAAAATCTTCTTTTTAAACAATTTTTGTTTTAATTTAATTCAAATTACAAGACTCTTTTCTTTTCTTCGGTAAAATTCAACAAAATACGAAGAATTTAACATTTATTTGCTATAAAATCAAAATTTTATTCACGAAATTATTTCAAATTTTTGAATTCGATGATTCGAATGATCAACAACATAAAGATTTCCTTCAACAACATAAAGATTTCCTTCATCATCAAAAGATAAACCACAGAGACCATTCAATTGGTTTGATTGATTTTCTCCACTATATCCACCAACAACAATCTCACCTTCATTTTTTCCTTCACACCAACGCATTACTCGATGATTTTGAAAATCTGCCACATAGATTTGACCCAAATCATCAACAACTACTCCTTGAGGATGATTCAGTTGTTTGAGATTTCCACCTTGACCATTTCCTCCAGCCGCAATTGTTCCTTCTCTCGCATTCTTTTTCCATTTCATCACACGATGATTGTTTTCATCTGTTACATAAACAGATTGATCTTCATCAACAAAGATGAAATTAGGAAAATTGAGTTGCTTGAGTTTATATCCTTTTCCATTTCCACCTGCCACTATAACTCCTTCATTGTATTCACCCATTTTCCATCGTCTCACTTCATTCTTCACCCAATCAGAAACATAAAGATATCCATGTTTATCGATTGCCAAGCCACGACAATCAATATTTTCAACGAGAATTTGTTGATTTTGATTCAGCCATTGAATCACTCGTCTGTTCTCAAAATCAGCAATGATGATCGAATGAGTTTGTTCATCAACAATCACATCTGTTGGACAACTCAGTTGATCCATTTGGCTTCCTTTGCCATTTCCACCTGCAATGATTTGTCCTTGCTTTGCATTATATTTCCATTCAACAATGCGATGATTCAGATTATCAGCAATAAACAGATTGTTCTTTCTATCAATAAACATTCCTTCAGGATGATCGAGTTGATTTAATCCTTCTCCTTTTTCATTTCCACCAGCCACAGTGATGGCATTTTGATTCCATTTATCCCATTTTGGTTCTAAAAAAGGATGAAAATAAAAGATTTTGATAAAAAGAAAAGATTAGTTTTGAACAAAACTTTGACTTTGTTCTCTTGTTAAAATCGAATTTTGAAAAAACATTTTTACTAAAAACGAACGTAAAATATTTAAAATTTATTATTTTTCAAGTCGAAATTTTGAAGAGAAAGAATATTTTTATTGAAAGATAGTTGATTGGTGAGACAGACTGATAAATATTTAATTTGAAAAGAAGAGAAAAATTGGAAAAGAGAAAAGATTTTGTTTATTAAAAATATGAAAATAATTTTATTTTATTTTTATCAATCAAACATTTTTTGAATCCTTGAATAAATTTTTCTTTTAGTTAGATACACTGTTTCATATTTTGTTATTCTTTTTTTACATAGAAATAAACTGAGTTTTCTATTTCTATGAATAATATTATTATTGATTTAGTTAACAAATAAATCAATAGTATTTTGAATTGTTTTTTAACATGAACTATTAGAAAATCTGAATTTTTTTTTTCGAAATAGTTTCTTAAAAACTTACTTTTTTGATGAAATAATTGAAATTTCATTAATAAACGGTTGTGAATCTTCTTTAATAGAAATCTTTGATGGATTATATAATTCTTCTGTAATTTTTATTAATTGGTTTCTTAAATAGTTTAAATTAATTTCATTAAATTCATTTTCGCTATGAATTTGTTTTATTTGTTCAGATAAATCATTAAATTTTATTTCAATATCATTAATAAATATTTCTGAAGATGTGCTAACAGTTTCTCTACAATTTTGTGCTTTTTGTTGAATTATTTCAATTGAGTTTGTTTCCCATTGATTAATTTGATTTATTAATGAAAGCTTTTGTAGACTCTGTGGATTTTGTTTTTGCTCATTAATTGTTTGTTTAAATTGGTCACAATCATTAATAATATGATTTAATTCTTCATTTAACATTTGTTGATGTTCTGTTAAATGTATTAAACAAAATTCTTTTGAACATCCTCTACAAGGATATGTTATTTTTTCTTTATTACATGTAAAGCAGTGTGTTTTATTGTTTGCTTTTGCCATTGCCATGTCGTCGAATATAAATTTATAGATGAAATCTAAAAAGAATTTTGTTGTAACAAAATCTTACTAGTAAAACTGATGTGACACCTAAGATGGTTGGACAAAAATTGAAAGTATGTTTGTTAGTGAGTTCTCAAATAATCCACGCCTACACTCATAAAAGCTTATTAGAATTGGCTTAATCTCCATGAGATTTCCGCAAAACACAGGGATGAATTTGGAAAACTCCGAAACAGTAGTGCTGAGACCCATATTAATATATCTTGTATATATGTAACACTTTCTTTTCATTCTAAAAATTTTTTATATCATCATTAACAGGAACATTTAAGGAGTCTAATTTATCAATATCATCATTTAACTTTCGTAGAGTTTGTCCTTCTATTTCTGAATCATCTAATCTAGGATAATTTGTTGTTGTTGATTGACTCATGGTAGATTAAAATACCAGAAATATCTTACAAATCAGAGACCGGCGGTATTGCAAAAATTTCATACCGTCCCGTACCGTGTACCGCTTTCACTCGTATCATACCGTACCGTACCGTACCACCTGATAATTTTTCGATACCGTACCGTACCGTTACCGCCTAGAGTCTGAAGTATACCGTCTCGCGAAATACCGTACCGCCAGAAAAAATTTTTAAGTTTTCTCCAAAGATATCACGATCCGTTTTATTGAGTTATCGGGTCATATATAGATTACTTTTTCGATGGATATTGACAACAAACTATAAAAAGAATTATAAGAGCATACGAAAAAAGGAATTCCAAGAACGCATGAACTTATTAATTGTTACACAACGTTGCGTAATTTTACAGAAAGAAAGCATGGACAAGTTAAGTGCAAAATTATATAAATATATACAAGTGTTTCATGCACTTTAGTATTAATTTCGGGTGTACAATTATCAAAAGTTTTAAATTAAGAAAAATAAAATAAACTTATAGGGTGAATTGGCTCTAAAGGTGGCAAGTCAAGTCCTTTTTCGACTCGAATCAAGTTAAATTAAGCCAATCAAATGACTTGCGACTTAACTTAAACTATAACTTCGATTTGAAGATTTTCGAGACGTAACTTGACTTGATCTGTTCGAAATTTTCAGTTATTGATTTTTACTTGGCTTGGGTCAAAAAGTCGTTGACTTGTCCATATCTGACCGAAACCATCGTCATAGTAAATGGTTGCACATCTTTATATATCTTTTGGACTAATCGATCTTTTCTTTCTCAGAAATAAGAACTAAGGAATCAAACAGTTTTCGGATGGTTATGTACAGTACTCAAATTTTTAGAAGATGATGAAGTCTCAGATGAGAGTAATATGAGACAGTTTTTCGATCAACTGATTCGCAGTTATATGTTTGTTAAGAAACGTAGTGCTGTATGAAATGTACGAACTCGTTGTAAACCATAGGTATTATGTGAAGCAAAACTTAATATTTTTCTCAGAAATACCATGGATATCGACCTTAACAGAAAACTAAATGACTGTTAGCAAATAATTGCATGAGTTTTCGTAATTTTGATTCTCGAGAATAATATATTAAGTTTCATTACGTTCTCAAAAGTGTTGAATCGTTTGACGATTGCACGTTTCATTTAACAATAATATTTACGAGAAAAACAAAAAGCAAACGATAAAAATCGTTCTTCTACAGCAATTGTTGACATCAATTGGTCGTTAATATATAACAACGACGATGGTTCTCAAACATCTTTATCTGACTTCCAAGGGTCCAAATGAGTGTAGGTCATATTCGACAAAATGATAAGAAATTCAAATAGCTGCGGATAAGAGATTGAGACAGGGTTAGCTTTGCTAAATTCATTTTAACATATAACGCGAATGAAAAACATTTAATAGATGTTTTCGAAAATCATTGCTAAAAGGCTTCTTTTAATATAGACGCGGGAGTGCGGTATAACCCTCTCATACCGCATACCGTACCGTACCGCCCTACTTCTTTTTTTCCTATACCGTCTCGTCCCGGTACGGTACGGTACAGTACTGACACCGCATCCCGCCGGTCTCTGTTACAAATAAGAAATGAATGAATAATATTGTTTTCTTCAATACCTTTGAAAATATATCAACGAAAAAAAAACACGTTTTGGTAAATACCCACCAAACATACATAAATACGAATGAAAGAAAAAAACAAATATAAATCTAATATTTTTGTTCTCTTCTTATTTTTTCTCTTGAAAATTACCTTCACAAGCCATATTTTTTTATTTCAGTATCGTTTGTGTAATATAACGTGACGTTATATAATGATTTGATATATCTGTTTTCTTTCTATTCGCGACAAAATTTCGACGGAGAAAGAAAAAGAATGTACAAACATTGAATAACTATTTTTTTTGTCGTTTTGTGAAATAAACGTTCGTAATACGAAAAAACACAGTTAATTAAGTTGGAATATTTCATATGGAAATGAATCGAAAGAAAAATCCAACAAAGGATTATAAGTCATATGGCAGAAAAGAAATAGAAATAAATTGTCAATATAGGTATATAGTCGAGTGTGTAGAATATATGACGATCTCTTTATAATAGAAAGTATTATCAGTTAGAGGTGAGAAGTATAAGAAAAAGTGAAACAGAGAAGAATAAAATTATGTCAACAAGATTATTTGTTTATACATTTTTATTTTGTCTCATAGTTTTTTTTGTGCATTCTGATTTTAGATTCTTTTTAAAGACAGTTTAATGTTGAAAGATTCGATTGCAAAATAATTATTCAAGAGAAAGAAATCGACAAATTCCAAATAGATATAAATCAATCTCCACTCATCAGATAACGAAGTCGCTTTTTCTCTAGATTTTGTTTTTGATTTATCTAATAATGTGAACCAGTTGTAATTCGTTAAGAGCTACGAAATAATGTATTCAGATTTTCGATGATATCTAACCGATTCTAATGAAAGTAAAAGTTAAAACTACTTCTGAAGTATATAGTTCATCCTATTCATCTCGGTAAACTCTATTAAACGGCATATATTTAATTGAATGAAACCAAATTTATGTTACAAAGATCCTTGGAAACCTCATGAAGTGGGTTTCCAGTCTGTATATCTTAAGGGTATGGATGTGCATTAATAGAAGTTAAATATATCCACACTCTCAGTTTGTGAATAATCTATAAGATAGGTTATATTTCACTTAAGTAATGGCATCAATCAATAATTCAATATAGTATAAATAAGATGAGTCTTTCAACATAATAATTTTTAGTATTTTCCCTTGAAAATGTCAAAATATTAAATAGATAACCTCTGAAATAGTGAATAAGCATTTATTGAGAACGAATTACATGAAGCAGAAAACAATATTTAAAGATTAAATAATGTAATAAAATGATAATTGTATAAGAATAAAGCATTAGTGATACATCCAAAAAATTGAAAAAAAAATATAGTGAATAAAATGTTCATATTTTCGAAATTGTTCAATCGATTGGTTTTGTTTATTCTAAAAAAGTTGAAATCAACAAGGAATACATTTCTATTTAACTTCAATATCAGATAGATTTAACATACGATATGATAACTAAACAAATCTTCTCTCGTTAGCTTATTATTCCAAGTATTCGTCCATTTAGACATAGAAAGAGTTCTAGACTAGAATAAATTTCACTAGTTAGACCAAATTCGATGAAAAGTGAGCAAATACTCTCATATATCTTAGTCTCTAACTATATCTGTTACTCGTATTACACTATGATGAAAATCATTAAAGATATCGTACCTGTTGACGCAGAACGGTTCTTTTTTTCTTGAAAAACATAAATAAATGGAATAAGAATGCCTATTACCACAACTATAAACACTATTAAACCAAAGATCCAGTAATGTGATGATACCGAAAATAAACTTTTCCTATGAAGATAAGACATAACGTATTAATATATTATAGAAGAAAAAAAGAAAGAGAGACATACGGATGTGTTTGTACTGTCTGTAATGATTGTGAAGATGCAGTGGTATTGTTGATATTATTTGCGTCCATTATTTCGATAGTTTCACTTTCAATAGCAGATATTGGTTTGATCGAGTTGGTTGTTTTCTTTCGACGCTGGTAAATTTTGTTAATAAAATAAACAATTTTCGGAGAGATCCATTTGAGAACGATAGTTAAACCACCATATAAACCAAGTAAATAAGTTAGTGTATAGAAAGAATTCAGTTGTTGAATATATGTATATGAACAGATCATTGGTGAACATTTATAAAAATATGATGAATAATTCATTATTGCTGACCATTTTTCAACAAATAGATCGTTGATAAGATTCATCACAGTTATATTCATTAGAAATCGACTATTAGTTATGTTGAGAGGAATTGGAGTGATATTTGTATTATATCCTGCCATTGTTTGAATAAGATTAATACATGATTGATCATAAAAACATTCGAGAGTTGATGCCAACAATGATTCACTCGGTGTACAACCCATTTTCAAACCTTTAATTGTTATAGGTTGTGTCGAATTTATCTCGATAAATGAAGCATTAATAATACAAGTAGAATTTAACTGACATGAACAGTTATCATCATAGAGCATTGCTTGAGTATATAAAATGCTCTGAAATGTACTATCAGCAGCAGCTAGGTATCGATAATTAGTTCCATACGCTGAGACAATCGCATTTCCATGATTTGTAGCTCGAAGTAACGAAAGTAGACGAATGAATGTTGAAGGAGTATTGGATTTTGCTTCATTAATCATTGAATTAATCTGTAAATTAAAATTTTCTTCTGATAATAATTGTTTAGTAATCATTAATGAAAATAAAGATTGTTGAATAGATTGATTTACTGTTTGCATAGAGAGTTGACATAATCCATTTAAAAATTGTAAATGAGTAGAGAGAAATAGACGATAATCTCTTTGATTATAAGCAGACAAATTAGAAATTAAATTTGCTGTAATATTTAATCTCCATTCATTTGAAATCAAATCACTTGAACAAATCTATCAGAAAAATAATATAAGAAAACGAAAGAAAATTTGTCTTACCTGGTGAAATATCGGTTGAATTTGAAGATATTCATCATATGGAGATGAAATCAATGAACATGGACATTCAAGTTCATCACTATGATCATTCATCAAATTCTTATAGAAATTTAATGACGGTGTTGAAAAGGATTTGGTCAATGTTTGTGGCTGAATAGCTGTATAGAGAGTTAAAATGACAAAAATGATACTTAGAAGAATAAGATAAAGACGAGTTGACCATTGACCAAGATGTTTTACCGTTATTCGGTCGATCTTACTTCCGAATGTTCGTGCAGGAAATATATTTAGATTCAACATTTTCGTATATAAAAATGTTATTAGTTTAGATAATAACATCTTGAATCGATCAAGTAATTTTCGACGAACTATAATGAAAATGACTTCATTAATTTCTCTAATATCTTTTGAGATGAACATATTTTGTTGAATTTATTAGTCGATTTAACTAATATAGTCTCATACACTCAATATATTATTATTGATTACCTTGTTGTTGTTTCTTCGGTTTTTTTTGAAATAAACCAAAAATAATCTTAACGAACTGGAATGTAATTAGTCGTAATGCCATAACAAGCCCACCGACCGTAGATATCAATGTCACCAATAGTTCGCTGAAAGTTTCTGCATGTTTTATTTGAGTGTAAGTACAATATGTTGGTGCACATGCTTCATAATAATCCGAAAATGACAATGATGTATTCCATTGTTCAATCATCATTTCTTCAACTATCGATGAAACTAAAGTATTTGGAGGAAAACGAGTTGATGTTTGGTTGTATATTAATGGATGTGCATATAAATTTGAATAATTTGCAGATGACGTTTTGTTCATATAATGGAAAAGTTGGTTCATACAATCGGAATCGGTATAAAAACATTGAAGTGTTGATAGAAGAAGGAAATCAATAGTATAACATGCATCAACCAATCCAGGTGCCACATAAGGACTAGGAATATATGGTGGATGAACACCAGGTAATCGTAAAATACCAGCTGTATTCACAACTGCGAAAGTGATTGGTCCTTGACAATTGGGATCAACACTACATTGACATATTATATTTTCCGAACGGTTCTTAAAAACAGTATTGAAACGAAATGTAAACTAAATAAACAGAAAAGAATTAATAAAATTCAATCAGAATTCCATTAAACAAGATTCAGAACTTAAGTTTTACAAAAGTCTCAATAATTCTAAATCTTTCTAAGGAGTCTACTAATTCTGTTTTATCCATAATTATTTACAGTCGGTGAAGCTTCATATGAGATCTAGATCGAGACTTAAACTTATTCTTAATTTAAACTATAATGACACTTTTTTAATACAAAAGAAGAAAAACCGTATCAGATGCTTCGATTGAAATCTATAATAGATACTGTCTAAATTTGATCTTCTATTCATCAATGATTACTTTCAGATATCAATCACCATTTTCAGCGCGCTAGGTAAACTCATAATGTAGCTTCTTTTATCCACGGCGAAGCTCATTTGAATGGTTGAGAATCTTCCTAACTCTAGCTATGAATGTATATATGTTGAAAGTCAACGTTTTATTATTCTAGCGCATAATTAAAGGACAAAAAGAAATGTAAGAATTCTTTAAATATAAACATACATGTAGTGCTTCTGGATTATTAGTACCGGCTGTAGTATTTTCATAATCTAGTATTACTTGAGAATTATATTCCGGTGATGCTATTACTGGCTGATCAGCCTGAATGAAAAGACGTGTCATAATATTGAAAAGATTAAAACTGATCACAATTGATTCGGTTAGTTGCTTGATAGTTGTATTTACTTGAATATTGAAGTCTGTTTCAATAAGCACATAGGAAGTAACAAAAATGCGTGCGAAAAAACCATGAATATTGTCGGTAGCTGTCGAATCAGCTAGTTGACAAATACTGGATAGCAAGCTAAAGTACTGAGCAGCTTTACTAATCCATACATCATACAGCACATCCTCCGGAAGGCTATTCGATAGTAGTGAAATCCATGATTCGCTAATTAAATCACTTGAGCATACTTGATGAAAAATGGGAGACAATGCAACAAATGTCTCATAAGGCATCGTAGTATTCGCACAAGGACATGTAAGTGTATCTGGATATAAGATTTGTAACTGATTGTATTTAGTTAACGATGGATTTTTTTCAATGATTGTAATTGTTTGACTTTTGAGTGAATTAAATAAAAGAAGACAAAGAATAGAACCTAGAGCGAAGAAAAAAAAACTTAGATCTAGATAATACTACATGAATGCATAGGAGGGAAAAGCTGGATTTTTTGATTCTCAAGATTACTTTTTTATCGATGATTGCTAATCGAAATTTCTATAATAAAAAGGTGCATCAAGGCCTCCTTTTGCAGAATATATATAATTTTCCTGAAAATCATCGAATCCTTATAGTGACTAGACATCATCTCACTGAGTAGGTCACACAGGTTCTAAATGAAGATACGTACCTGCGAATAAAATGAGAAAACAATATGTGCTGATACGCTGTTGTCTGATATCATCCACTGTTCTATTCGCAGCTGATTTGAATATGTTCAACTGTTTCATCCACCGAGTTAAGTTACGAAAAGATGATAAACAATACTCTAGAATTTTAAAAATACGAATCATTTCATAGAGTAATATTACTTTTATTATCGACAAAACATACCATAGTTAATAGTGATTTTTATCGGACGATGTCGAATTTTCCATATAATCGTGATCAACAAAGGTGCAATGAACCGAAGAATAGCAGTCAAACCACCATAGAGACTGATTAAAAGAGACAGGATAGATGATAAATTGATCGAATCTATGGTAGAATATGTACACACTAAAGGAGCACATTGATTAAAATAATTCGTGTAGTTGATTTTGGTTGAATTTTGTTCAATAAATAGATACTTAGAGGCAAGATCGTTTACAGAAATATTTCGTCGACCAGAAGATAGAGGAAGATCGATCAATTTGAAATTTGACTAGAAGAAAAGAATTGTTTAGATATTTATCAAATTAAATATACTGTACTTGATTAAGAGCTGGAAAATAATCGAATAAAATTTCTAGACATTGAAAGTTGTACAAACAATCAAGTGTACTGTTAAGAACAGAATCCAGAGGAAAACATCCTCCGAAGAATCCGTCGACGCTTGCAGAAATAATTGAATTACTATAGGCACCATGGTAATTAGGCCAATATATATGATCACCTACGCTCGTATCTAATGGTTGAGCATAGAAAACAGCTGGAGTTTTCATGTTCTTTTCGGCGCAACTTAAAGCGTACAATGAGTCAATAACAACAATGTATGGGTACACGTAATTCGTAGAATAGATTAATACTCTACCAGAGCCTATTTGAACAACTGCATTCGTTCCAAAAGCAGACACGAGAGTATTGGAACGATACATCATTTGGACAAGTTGTAAAAATGAAGTAACTTGAACATATGCGGTTGTTTGAGCAAGTTTAACCATGGCTTCTACTTGCGATTGAATATCTTCTTCTTCAAGAAGCTCAACTGTAACAAGTTGATTATTTTGAATATCTAATAGTGCTTTTGAAACTGTGTCGTTCGAAATTGAACAAAGAGCAGCTAGCAATTCGAACTAGAAACAGAACAATAGATTTCATATAATGAGGTGTGGGTGTGGGTATGATGATAACTATGCAAAGCATCGCGATTGACTTTTACAATTAAATAAAAAAAGTAAGATTGGTCTTTTATCGATTTCTTTATTTCAAAGTTTTATTTAAATCAAATCAAAAAAAGATCTCAATTACTTTTCAATTAAATTTAGTCACTTTACAGAACGTATTAGTATCTTAGTGCAGCGAATAATATCATACGACTATACAAAAACAGAGGTTTCATGTGTTTGTCTTCACTGATCTTTATTTTATTGTAATAGTTTGCTTTCATCAATTTTTTTCTTTAAATATAAATTGAAGATATGTTTTGAACTCACCTGAGAAAATGCCGTTACTCGAAAATCGTCCAATAAATATGCATTGGCTGCTGGTAGATAAAATCCTTCAATCCATTCTCTGCTAACAAAAATACTCGAACATACAGGATGAAATGAGACCATATTTGTAACGAAAGTGCTGTAAGGTATGGTAATAGTTGAACATGGACATGAGAGTGTTTCACCATATTCACGATGAAGTTGATCAAAGAGTGATGGAGTTAGATTTGAAATGGTAACGGTGCGACTTGTTGGACTTAACAATGCAATGAAGAATAACACGTAAAGAGAAACTAGAAACAAAAGATGATAAAATGAAACACATTACACTATTATTTAGATAATAATACGAGCTTCCATTATATTTCTATTAAGAAACAAATTATTTTTATTGACTCACTAATGAAAAGGAAAACGTAGAGCCATGTAGAATGTTTCTGTTGCTTGACACGTATTGTTGGATCTATTGACTGATCGTTGTCATCCTCATAATGATCTTCGTCTGGTATGAACGAATTGTAATTGTGTACATAATCGTGAAACCAAGAAATAAAATTTCTGATTTTCATTCTTAATATAAGCCTATTATCTAAAAATCGAAACAGAATATAGATGTAAGAAAAGATTGGTGTGAGTATTGGTCTGGATGTTATAATCATCTCTCACTCACACCCTGAAAAATTTAATTAAAAAAATATTTCATGGAGAAAAATATCCTTTTCTAATGGATGCCAAGTCATGCACGATCTGTGATGATTATCATTGAATTGACTTACTTTTGAATATATTATATTTGTTCATTTCATTTTGGAAGGAAATTGTTTTATTTTATCGAGTATATTTTATATTTATTTAAATAGTTCGCTTGGATGCGTCTGTTATAATAATATCCGTCATTTAATTTCCGAGAATATTTCTAATTATCAAGAAAATCCTTTGAATAGAAATTATATTTCAATCCTAGCACGTATAACAGAACATAAACCATTTAATAGTTATTCTAAATCACTATAAAAATCATGTATGGACATCAGTATCGAGTTTTTTAGTTCAAGATTCAAATAGTTTTATGAAAAGGAAGAACACTTACCATTTTCATTCGACTTCTTGATGCAAATATTTTATCCTTTATAATAATATCTACTTACCTTATTATCAATATAAGAGTTTTATAGTATAAAATGTTAAGACATAATATCAATGGGGAAAAAAAAATCTCTCTCAACTTCTCATTTCTTGAAAAATGAATATTTAAATGAGCATTAGTGAATATTTTAGAAAAATGTAGATAGAATACATAATAGAATTCAGAGAGAGAGAGATAAAAACACTGGATAGAAAATTAAGGAAATTATTTTAACAAGTAATTAGAACAATATGAAGAAAGAAATTCATTTAATAAGTTTTTTAATGAAGCAGAAAAAAAGCATGACAAAAAATAAAAGTATAATGGAATATTTCAATAGGCACTAGAAAAATTGATCATATTCATAGAAACAAACTTTATGGAAGATATACCGTATGGCTCATAAGTCAGATAACACAATATTTGTTTTGATTTTTTTCCTTTGCATTCACATCTAGTATATTATACCTTATATGCTAGGTGATCTAACAAGGGAAGGTTCCTAGGTGCGTTCCAGGGATTTCAATGAAAATTTCACGTATGTGGTTCGGTATAAAGATTTTTTTTCCGATCACGATGGTTAAAGTTAAATGTTATATTATTCTATATGTAGCAAATAGTTCTATATAATAGTCTTTGTTGTTGTTTTTTGATTATGTTGTTTATTTGAAGATATATTTAAACGTGTACAAACTGCAGTTTTATAAAAAAATAATAAACTACGAGAAAAAATAACTAACGACGATATCGTATTTCATAATTTAATCGAGCAAAAATGAAGCAAATAACAAAGAAGAGAAGAGAAAAGTTCGTATATTCAAATCAAATAATTAGTACTAAGATAATCGAAGAAAGCAAGAAAAAAATAATAAATACTGTATAGGATGAACGGAGAGAAGGCCATCTATTGAAAAATCTCTTCATATTATATAACTGATATAAATAAACTGTGGACTCGAGAGTTTGGCTAATGCAAAGTCTGACTCACTTTAACAACCCTCATTTTCGTAATAAATAGAGAAACCAGTAATATAGATTATATATGTTTGTTAATTTCTTCTGATAAAACAATACTCTGGAGTGTTTTAGACGAAAAGTATGAAATTGATTATTAAGATCTCTCATTTATACTGAACTGACTGTAGAAGACTAGATTTAATAAAAAAAAATAAAAATAACGTTTAAATGAGAATTAATTTTAGAGTATTTCTATTGTATTTTTATCATCTGTTCGTCTTATAAAAACTAGATGTCGCTTTCAATAGTGTATTCCATATTGATTCGATGATGTATGCACATATGTGACTAGACTATATATAAAATGACATATTTTCTTCTTAAACGACAATCGATAATCTGCATAAGGTATGAAACGACAAATATTTTATTAAAGCTGTTTTTTTTCTTTTAAATCTGACTAATGATAATATTGAGTTTATTATCGAATGAAGTTTGATAGTCAACAATTTTATATTGTAAGTTTCTATTTGTACATGAATTTTGTTTATTCCAACGAAGAAAAAGAACGGAAAGAAAATTTTATCTGAAATCAGTACTGAATCATAAATATTCATTGAAAAAAAGAAAATATATGTACCATCTTTAAGAAAAATACGATCAGAAGTAGAACGAGTATAAGTACAGCAAGTAAAAGTAATTGATTTGTGATTTAAAATAGTATAGTGAGTTAAATAGATTTATGTTTTTCTCTAATGCAACAATTATTTTTATCTTTATTTCGTTTTTTTAAAGATCTTTCAAAGTCTACGATTGCCTACCATTATACTACAATGGCTGGTAAACTTTTGGGTCGTTTTTCTCAGTCGCATAACAATGCAATTATCGATATTACGGTAGACAACGCAATGTTTTCTGGAACAACTTGTTCACTCACATGGATAGAAGATCATGCTTTTCATTACATACATAATGGTGATTTTTGGTATTATATACGAAATGGAAATAGTTATGAAGTTATCAAACATGATACCGATACAGGTCATCACAAAATACATCCTGAAGGTAAGCATGATGATTTCTTAAGGACCGCATCGTGATCGTGATAGCATAGAAATTTGTCTTTTACTAAAACAATACATTTTACAGTTTAGTGGGAGTGCCCATTAACAGGAGAAGATTTCAACAAGATTAAATCATTGGTGAAATGAATTTTAGTGAGATAGAATACGTTTCATAAACTTAATGGAATCATCTCGTTACATTGAATTCACAGATATAATAGTACTCTTTTGTTTGTTATCCAACCAAAAGATAATCATCATTATCATTGTTGATTTTATTTTGGCTAAGATTGGTAGGCTACTCTAAAGATCGTAAGATGTACATATGAACAAGATTTCAGATTTTTTATAGTTTTATCAGGTTCTTCTTGCAAGAAAAATGTGTGCTCAAATGCACTTAATCATTCCCAGTACCTCTCTTGTGTGTTGAACAACTATGCAGCTGAATCGTTTTAGTTTGTATTATAAGAGCAAACTAGTTCTATCCTTTAAAACTACGTTATTACTTTTTTTGAAATAATAAATATGCAATTTTTACCGGTCTATTTTGTTTTATTAAGCGAAACACTCTTTCTATTTTTTTCTGATGGCAATCGGAACAAAATTAATATTATAAATGAAAGAATTGCAGAGATTGTACGTGTCTGTACATTCAACTTACGTTGTGGTCATGCCGATTTAAGAACATCCAATAATTGGGAAAGACGAAGATCAATCTTGAAAAACTGCCTAGAAAATATGCAACCAACAATTATTGGAACACAAGAAGGTTATCCACAACAACTCAACGAGATCCTTGATGATTTAAATGAGTTACATTACTCAATAGTTTAGTCACAATTAAATCAGAATGTTATTTTCTATTCTTAGATCTTCATCTTGTTGGTCATATATAGGTGAAGAAATCACTCAATGGCGTACAATCAATGCTATATTCTATCGTCATGATATATTATCACTTATTTCAACAAATACTTTTTGGTTCAATGAACATCCATTGACATTTGGTGCTGCTTGGGGTGCTATAGGATCTCGTGGTTGTACTCGTGCTCATTTTCAACATAAACTTACAGATCATCCATTTATTATTTACAATCTTCATCTTGATTATCCATCTCAAAATGCTCGACATCATTCCATACCTGTTCTTCTATCACAGATAAATCAGAGTGATAATCAAATTGATAATGTTATTGTCATTGGAGATTTTAATAATTGGCCAGAAAAAATTGCAGGTGAACTACCTGTAGATGAACTGATTCTATTAGGACAGAAAGCATCTGAAATTCAACAAATGAAACAAGCTGGTTTTGTTGATACATATCAACATGGTGAAATCCCATCATTTAATGGTTTTCAATCAACTGGTTATGGTCCAAAAATTGATTTTGTTTGGATATCATCAAATAGTATTTATCGAGTTGAAGGTGAAACAAAAATTGATGAGTTTCATGATGTTAATGGCTTTTTTCCATCGGATCATTTTCCTGTATATGCTGATTTAGTTTATATTTCATAAATCAGTTCATGTTATTTTTCTTTTATTTTTACCATCTATATATATATGCCTAGGAGGAAACAACGGACTTCAAGATTTCAACAAGGGAGATTTCAGTTTTTCAAAAGACCTCAAAGACTTCTAGAGACTTCGCAGGATTTAAATACTTAATCAAGAGTTTATAAGACTTCATGCATGAAGTCTCTGTTGTTTTTCCCTCGATGAACATTTAGTTTGCAGACTAATCGAGATAAATCATTCATAGATGTGCGTGAGAGATAGATGTATGATATTCACCCACAGCACAATATTCGCAGCTGTATATTTTTAAGGACCATTGATAAAAAAACAAGAAAGAAGTGTCTTGATGAAAGAAGATCTTTATTAGAGCCAAAGTTACTTTTATTTTCAATTTTTTATGTTGTAAAATAAATAACTTTACATTCGAAAAAAAGTATCTTTTAGTGGTGATGTGGACAACTTGATTGATATGCTTGTCCTTCTAGATCAATTGCTTCACGCAACTGTTTCTGACGTTGTTTTTCATTGAATAAATTCAGTTCACAAGCATTATTTTCATCACAATTCAAGCGAATATTTTTGTGTTGGTCACTATTGACACAAAGTTGATCAAGCTTCTTATTTGCTTCATTTAAATATTGACCAAAAACCAAACGAATTAGATTTGCTTCGGCTTCACTAAAAAAGACCATTTCGAATAACAGCTGACGATCCTATTGCTATTTGTTTGTTTGTCAGGGAGTTGAAAACAAACTTAAGTTGTAAAACGCAAACAATCATTGCACTGTCAAATATACAATTTATATGTTTATAACCATTGCTTTGAGACATAATTTTTGCATAACACAGTAAATATATTCATCGCAACAATGTTGAAAATAATTATTCAAACGTTATTTGAAACCAACTGTTTTCTCTGCCTCATTAGTACCATCGAAGTAAGCATGGATAACTTCTGACGCTCTCAAATGATGGATATGTGCTGCTAAACGTAGAAGTGACATCATTGTTCCATTTGTAGTGACCGCACAGAACTTGAGAAATGGTTATGTTGGATCAAAGATTGTCGATGTGGGAAAAGAAGACATTTTTCTTAAAATATGAAAAATAATGGTTGCATAGACAATACTTATATACGAAATATCATGTCTACAAATAAAATTTACTTTCATTGCATCAGTCCTTATCTACATTTCACTAAATTCTATGGTTTTTATTTGATATGTTGGTAATATCCAATGTGCCATATTATGTTAATTTAAATGTAAAAAAATCTTCGATATCAGGCTTAAGACTCATTATTTACATTCACACCCTCATATAATTTCGCTGAAAGTAACCATACAAAGCAACAAACAACAACAACAACTTATTTCGTGATAAAAGATAACAGACTTTAAATGAGTTTTTTTCTTACCTGTTATTTATATACAAATGTTATGTAGAAACGCGAGTCATTCGCAAAATTTATCAGCTCTTAAATTATAAAGTATGGTCAGTTACCAAATGTGACTAATATTTTTAAATTTTCGATGAAGGTGTGGGTGAGCGTGTGAGAGTGTGTATTTTTCTCATTCATTACCCACACCCACATCCTCAAGATTATTTTCGACACCTATATTTTTTATTATAAATCTAATCTAATGAAAAATTTTCTATTGAGTTTTTTATTCTTAAACTACTTAAGAGATGATTATAGGGTGTGGGTGTGGATGAGAATGTTCTCAATTGATTCTAATAGCCACGCCCACACACTCACCAAAGAGATTGAGTTTAATGGGAGACCAAAGTATGGTGCAAATCGTGCTTTCTTAAGAATAATGTAGCGATAAGAATTTTTATTTTTACAGTAGATAGAAATAATAAAATTCGAAAAAATAAAGTTTGATGACAAAAAAGAAAAGTCGAATTAATTGTTTATGAAAAAAATCAAAATGTTAAAGTCACATTTATTTTATTTTATTTATTCGCTTTAGATAAAGTGCCATGTGATGTCAGTGTGTCCATCACCAAGTTCACCAGCTACAGCCATAAAACCATCATATGTGAGGGCAATATCACCTAAACAAATTTAGTAAATTATCGATATTATCAAATCGATGATATTTACCTTCTTTGCATCCATCACAACGATCAACAAATTGTACAACTATTTCACCTTTGATTCCTTTAGCAATTGCTTTCTTTTGACAGATGGGATTCGTACTTGGAATACCGTTAAGAGTATATGGATCAAATTGAACTTGATTGAGAGCAGCTGTATAGATTTTCTCACTATTTACATCTAATGAACGAGCTCGACTTGTACCACATGTACTGAATTCCATACCAGCCATAGTTTCATTGTAATATGTCGCTTGTCCTTGAAATTCACCTTCCAACGAAGCTGCTTTCTTTCCAGATAGAAATTTGGCGACAGCGCAGTAAGCACCATACGAGCCACAACTAGATTAAAACAAATTCTTGTATGAATCAATTATCTATGCAATTACATACTATCCGTATTGTGTGCAGCAGCCACCAGCAGCACAACCAGTAGAGTAACAATTTCCATAACTGGTAGCTCCACAATAGGCAGCAGCTCTTCCGCAACTAAAGGATAAAAAATGGAGAATTCTCAACATAGAATATATTGATTTTGTCTCGATTTACTCACTATCCGTTTTGGAAACAACATTCTCCTGATGGACATCCGGAAGTGAGACAACTAACTGCTACTGGACCACCGCAGTATGTAGTAGCACAAAAACCATATGCCGAGCAGCAGGAACCAACTCCGCAACCACCAATCAAACAGTTACCAGCTAAATATGAAGAAAAGATTACATTTCTGACAATACTCATCTAACATTTACTCACCAGTACTGTACACTAAAGACAGTAAGACAAAGCCCACATGTGTTGCAGTAATCAACATCGCTGTTCGTGTATGTGTATGTTAATATTGAAGTGTAAATTCTGAAAATACAAATGAAGTTGACGCGCTATTTATCTTATCGACAGACGGCTATTCTTTTCTCTTTGTCTTCATTTATTTGCATCAGAATATTTTAATCCACAAGCAAATCTTCACATAAACATCGTGTCCTTTATACATATTCTCCGTGTGACATTTTAGCGTATTGCATGAATAGATTATGCTTCAACAAAAGATCACTGTCTTATAAAAATAGATTAAAATAATATTATTCTATTGACTGATCTTAAAATAACTAGAGAACAGTGTGTGTAACCTTGATATTTCTCGATTTGATAAATAATCAAACAAATCAGTAATGAAAATAAAAAAACATATTTTTAAATGTGACAATAATAAAGTCTAGCATTTCTACACATGGATCAAGTCAAGATTAACAATACAACTTGATAATCCAAATCCTACACATTCGTATTGATTTATATTCGTCATTTCGATGCACAGAGACCTTTGAAATGTTACTCTTTTTTCGTGGTTTGTAACGTATCTATTGAAGAATACGAGTTCTGAATATTACTTATGATAATGTCGTGAAAAAGGACTACTATTTTATTGAAACTATAATTGAAAAACTGCATTTGTACGTAAAAATAAATGATATCATCTTCAGGATTGATTCATTATCATAATAATTTTCAGATATATTAGAAACTCGGTTGACAATGAAAGTACTTCTATATCCGTTGCTAATTGAGTTAAGATCTCAAAATAGATATTGCTTAAAAAATATGTAAATAACATATTCTTTCTGAGTATTGTCAATCATATTCAAGAACAATATGCTCGCTTCTTTCGTATCAGAAAAGTTGCACAATGAATCGTATCAATTTCATACCATTATAGTAAGAAAGTTATTGATTACTTAAAATTAAAATGATCGAATCGGTGTGTTAAATTTATTAAACTCAAAACATTGATTTAGCGCTGAAACCATTCTCGGATCATTGGCAACTAATAAATCAATCTGGACTGCCCGAGTTATACTTGTTTGAAAATTTTCAGGGTGAATGTGGATGAGTATTTACTTGTTTTCGCATCCACACTCACATCTATACCTATGCTTACGCTTAATTTAAGAACATGTACCTATGTGAAATTAAACTAGAATTATTTATTTTTATTTCAAAAAATTCATAGATATTAAGCTTTAAGGTTAGCGATGAGTCTGTTAAGCTGTGGGTTAAGTCTTTTGGCAGTTTTTATAGGTGCACAAAAAAATTCGAAAATTATTCGTAACTAAATAAGTCGAAATCAATAATTTGTATAAACTAATTTTTACTACGATGTCATATAGTTTAGGCTTGGTGCTGTTTTAAGTCTTTATTTGATCGGCAATTTTTCGCTGCGCCTCAATTCGCTCTTCCATGGCAAGAAAAATCGTTTGAGTGCCAAACGTGCCACGTAAGTTTACAGGTTGGATTGCACAACAGCATGGCATGAAGCAACAATAGAGCATCTTAAAACAATTCTGATCTGAAGAAGAAGATGGTTCGCAGCAGAATTGATTATGACTAACGCCAGAAATGTGTTGTAGATAAATAGCAGAATCCATATGTGGGTGTTCATCACAACGGCCCTTGCAAAATTTACAATATTTAAAACATTTTCAGCAAGTAATACAGTGTTCAGATCGAGAAAGAACTCGTTTATTCGTAAGCCATACAACGTGAACACCACAACTTTCGAAACAGCCAAATATTGGTGTTTTCCATTCGTCTACAAGACTTTCACCAGAAACCAGCCGATTGCTATTGAGCACACCTTCAGGTTGTTTAGTGACAGGATATTTACTCCTATGATACAACTTTCAATCTTAGTATTTGTTTATATGAAACGATAAAATAGGTTTTACATTCGGTGTAAGAACCTTTTTCTATTCACTATACCATATCACTCAAAACGGATACAGTTTCAGATTCTATCTACTGATAAAAAAATGGAACTGTAAAGAATAGTGAAAAATTGAAGAAAACGTTTCCTTTTAACTTGCTATTCAAAAGAGAGCAAGCATAATGAAATCATTGATTTTCTATTAGATTTATCCAGAAAGACAATTCTTGATATTCCTGATCTATCCGCGTTTGTATCCTTTAATCTCCCTGCACTGGAAATTTTTTTCTTCTAAACTAGTATGATTTTAGCTACACTTGATGACTGGTTATTGAAATTCCTTAAGTCTCCTCCATTCTGGAGCCATAAGGATCCTACGAAATTCAATCTTCAAGTGCAGCTGGATAAAGGCAAACGTACGAGTGAGATTGACGGAATCCATGAAACTGGGTCGTATCTGATTGTATTCTGTAGATGTGTAAGTTTCATGAAATCTCAAGAGCAGAAAACGCACTAGACTTGACCACCACACACCAGTAAGTAGGAGCTCTGTATAATTGAAGAAAAAGTATATTATGCTAGCACCTCTATGAAACAAACTGTTCATATTTAAAACTATGAATGAGTCCTATGGTATTTCGTACTTACATTGATCGCAGCTTCGGTTATTACAGATGGAATTATTATAATCTGTATTGACTTTTCTTTTCTTTTAACTGTTAATGATTCTCATACATAAATGCTCACTCCATTATATAGTGTAAAGTTGTTAGAAGCACGAAAGTTGGTAACTAATGGATGTTCTCTCTTCACCTTGACGCAAGCAAAGACAGAAAAGGGAGAACGACGATGGAGCCTTCAAGAATGCAATGCGAAAGCGACTATTGACTTCAGGATGTATTGCGAAGCCTTCAGTTTACGCAGACAATTGGAAATAATATTTTGTCAATAACGCGTCTCACTGATTTCGGGGAATCCTACTTTTGCAGCACAGACTTGAGGGTGTCCGGCAGATGTGGGTGCGAGTGAAACATCATTCGTCACCCTCATCCACACACTTACACCCACATCTACACCCACACCTTCATTCACACCTACACTCACATCTATACCCACATACACACCCACCTTCACCCACGCCTACACCCTCATTCACGCCTACACTCACATATACACCCAAACCCACTCACCCACATCCACACTCACCCTTCTTACGTTAACTTAAATATTTTACGGACAAAATAATGCATTTTTTCCTGGGAATTATGATAGCTACGGCTCTTTGCGTCAGCCAAATTTGGTAGTTTATTTACCAGTCTGAAGTAGTAAAGTAATATGTAAACAAAAGCTTCCGAAGAGAGACCGAGCGAAAAGTCATACGCTTATTGCTAATTTTTCTGAAGAACGCGTAAAAGTATGACGTACAGTTTCACTTGCGTATTGTGCTTGCTACTGAAAGGTAAGAAAAAGTTTCGCTTCTGAAGCGAAACAATACATCGATTTTTTTCCAACCACAATGCTCTTTCATGAATCCTCGATAAACTGTGCTTTTGGATCCTAGTGAGAGGTGCTCAGTGAGATCATCGGTATCAATGCTAAATTTTGAAAATATATTCACAATACCCTGATACTGAAAGTTGATATATAGCTAGTGATTGATTATTTTGTAGGTGCGAGCATGCATGTTGGGTTGAGAGTAGAAAGACCTATACATTCAGATCCACACCCATCGTAAATGTATCTAGTTGAAAGATTTAGAAGAAATAAGTCATAGAAAGACAGATATTAATATTTAGTGTTATCCGTAGAAATATCAAATTGTAAAAATATATCTACAATTTTAATCTACCAATCTTGTGAAGATCTATTTGTCAAGAATATTTTTTCCTGGTTATTTTCTTTAGAATTACTAACGAAAAGAACGAAAAAATAAATCAGCTAAATTCCATTCAACTAGGTACATAACAGCCTATAGCTCAAAGAGCCGTGTGAGCTAGCTCAAACGTAATGCTAACAACGTCTTTTTTTGTGAGCGGATTCATATCGCGGATTAGTGTGGGTAGTGTTGTGCGTGTAAATGTATTCTTTGATTACATTCGCGCTCACACACTCAAAAGCAGAAAAAAACGAATTTTTATTTTTCCTTTTTATATTCTTCTTTTTGGGATTCTTACGAAAAACAGTGTACAGTATCAACAATAAAATTAGAATGGCTCAGTCTAACCGCATTCCATCTGAACGTTTTTTGGACGCCACTTCTGAACCACAACGACGCCTTACACCTATACACGGTTATGAACTGAAACCACTTGTCCCACTCGAAGAAGCTGTACGACCTTTAGAATCTTTAATTACCAACATTCAAGGATCTGTTTGGACAGCAATCGGTAACTGTGAACAACCAAAAGATGGTCTGACACCCAATGAATCTGCTGCTATCTACCTCTACACGATGGAATGTATGTATCGTCAACTGAACACTGCTCTACGAAATGAAAATCGAGATCAGCTCGTACCGTACTTTTCGTATCTAAAATTATTTCTCACAGCCTTGTGGAAGTTAAATGATTTTCATGATCTCGTATACAGAGGTGTAAAGAGAAATATTAGTGATGATTTTCCAAAGGGAAAGAAATTTGCATGGTGGGGACTTTCGTCAACGACAACATCGTTAGATGTTTTACAGGCAGATACATTTCTTGGAGAAAACGGCCCACGAACTCTGTTTAATATTCAATGTTTCAACGGGAAAATGATTCAAAATCATTCACAATTTCCTACGGAAAATGAAGTACTTCTGTTACCATGCAGTTACTTTGAAGTCATGGGTAATATGAAACAGGGTGCAGATTTACGTATTATTCATTTGAAACAAATTGAACCGCCTGTTGTTTTAATTCAACCTCCATCTCCTTCGATGGTGCATCACAAAGTGTCTACTTCAAGTAAGTTTATAAGTGCTTTCAACCCAAAGAAACTTTTAAGTTCGCAATACTATGTTTATCACAATTTTTGAGAATCAGTTGTCTTTTCAAATTAGTGTGCCTGTCACATTACATACCTAAAATCACGAAATGATAATAGAACGGAGTACGTTCAAAACCAAAATATGTGCTTTTACAAGTTTCAGTAGTCAGCACAAGAGCGCGATTACTGTAACTAAAATCTCCGTTCTTTAACCTCTAACATACAGCTTGTTCGAAGAAACCCATTTATACAAGCCAGCGAAAAAAGCTACCTACAACGGTTATAAGTTACCTCGTCGAATGACTGTGGAATATGAAAACCATCTTGTTCATTCATATATTGTATTTTGTTAAACAAAGAAAACTTATTTCTGGTACCTTCGCGCATACTGCTCCTTTTTGTTGAGGGTGTGGGTGTACATAAGGAGAAGATATACACTAACGCTAACATCCACGCCCATTCTCATACCCACATCCATCCTCATGGTTGCTAGACATGCGTTATTTTTAGCGTATAACACTTTCTTCCTATATAGCAACACAAAATAATCGAAGAAAAGTTAGTTGTCGAATTACCATAAACTCTGCTTTTTCTTTAGCTAACAAACAATCTGATACATTAGAGCATTTACAAAATTTAGCTCAACAGAACGACGATCATCTAGTGTGTGGTGGTCGTCGTTGTGAGAAATGTCATGGCTGTCGTGACTGGAAAAATACAACTAGTGGCACCTGCAAATATGTCTGTCGTGGTGGTATTCGTGGTTTTTTCGGTGCAGACCCACTGCATGGTTATAATAATAATATTCCAAGATGCTTTTGCAATCATAATAAGAAATAAATAATCTTTCATTACATCTTAAGGGTAAATGTGAGTGGGTGTTGGTATGAATACCTTCTCTTTATTCATACCCACACCCATACTCATCAACTATCAAGTTTTACACATGGTCAGAACTTCTCAAGAGCAATAATACGAAAATCTCAAAAAGTATCTCGCAAAATAAACCAAAACACAGAGTGAATATCTGTGACTGATTCTAACACAATTGATCCTCGTTTCTAATTTTTGTAAAAGGCAACACCAATGTATAGATATAGATAATATCACATGAAACACGGTGAGACGACTAACCGAATTGCCGCATATGAATTCTCAGAAATCTTGGATGAATGTTTCATCAGTATTTAGGAACACTATTAATGATATATGCTTTGGGAAATGAATATGAAATAGCTAGAGTAACAGAATCGTGAGGATGGGTGGGTGTTGGTGCGAAAGAACGACGCATAGTCCACACCCACACCCTCAACATCATGTTTTATATCAGAAGTAAATATACATTACATTTATAAAAATATCTCCAGTAAGAAAAGTGAATAAAAATAATGACGCATTCATTCACTTTTTCGTCTGCTGTATAAACTGGCAAACAGCTATTCACCGAAAAAAGACGTCAACAAACAAATTCGCAAAGTATGTTGGAGAAAAGAAGAAAAAAAACACATTTTTCTTACTTCAGTAGGTAGAATGTTGCACAATCCTCTCGTTGTGATGACATCAGGTTTGCTTTTTTCTTATCAAAAGTATTTTTCTCACTTTTATTAAAAAGAAACGCTGAATATAAGAGATTGTTACTTTCGTTGATCAAAATTTTTAGACGAGTATGCCAGCTACTGGACGCTTTCTCGATGCGAAAGATGAATATTTTCAGCATCCTCTACCCATTCCTGACTTTGCAAATATTCCAATATTATCATTAGAAGACGCTTTACATCCAATAAAAGGGCATGTACGAAAAGTTGATTCGATAGCCAAGAAAGCCAAGAAAAGATCGTCTAAACCGAAAGATAATCTGACCATTGATGAATCTGCTGCTATTTGTCTTTTTACAGTAGATCAAACTGAAGAAAAGGAGAGTGTCTGTGTGCAGTTGAATCAAGCACTTCGTTCAGAAGATGGAAATCATTTAGAACCTTGGTCCCCTTATCTCAAACTTCTGTTAACGGCATTAGACAAGTTACCATCAACTTCCTGCAGGGTTTACCGTGGTGTTCGTGCCGATGTACGAGAACAATACCACTACGAGCATATCTGTTGGCGTGGTGTGAGTAATTGTTCAAGGTCAAAAGCACAAATAGAGAAGTACCTTGGTAAAAAAGATGCACGCACTCTATTTGAAATTAATTGTATTAATGGAAAATTGATCGGCAACCATTCCTATCTAAATGATGATAATGAAATTATCTTGATGCCTGGTATTTATTTGCGAGTATCGAATATATTGGAGCAAACAAATGGGATATATATGATTCGTTTGCAAGAAGTATCAGCTCCAGATGATTTGAATCAATCCCATAGTAAGATCTTTTATACATTTAACAACATCATATGAGTCTATTTTAGAAATAAAAGAATCATCAAAAGTACATCCTGCATATCAATTTCGGGCAGGTTAGTTATGAACAATTTAAGATAGTATCAAATAAACGTGATATATTTATAGCACAACCATGGTTTGATCGTCAGTTTCATTCAAAAGGTAGTCGATCAATTGTAAAGCCGAATGAACTTGAAGCCAGTGCGAAGGATCCTCCTGAAAGAATTGAATTGGAAATCTTCAATCGTATTCATGGATCCATTATTGGAATGTCTTTAGGTGATGCCCTTGGTGCACACGTAGAGTTTAGACCTCATGAATTTCTCTTACAGCATCCAGTCAAAGGTCTTGAAGGAGGAGGAACATGGGGTCTGGAAAAAGGACAGGTAATGTGTATAATGATCGACATGACTAATTGTGAATGCATATTCTACAATTACATTTCAGTTCACTGATGATACGTCGATGGCTTTATGTTTGGCTTGTTCATTGATAGTTTGTCAGGATTTTGTCCCGTATGATCAGTTAGTTCGTTATAAATGGTGGAACAGAGATGGTTATATGTCATCAACAGGAGTATGTTTTGATATAGGTGCAGCTACCCAACAGTCAATACTCAAATTTGAACAGCGTCAAAAAAGATTCGCTCAAACACATAATATTCCTGCTGATCAATTAGACTTTCTCTCAGATTCTGAACTACTTGAGAAGTTTAATGTGTATTGTAGTGAAGATGGTGTAGCTGGTAATGGAGCCTTGATGCGCCTAGCACCTGTACCTTTATTCTTCTATCAGTATCCACAGTATGCCGTCCAGTTTTCTGGTCAAAGTGGACTAATTACTCATGGTGATCGAAAAGCTTATGATGCTTGTCGTTATTATGGAGCACTAATCGTCGCTGCTCTTCGTGGTGAATCAAAAGCTGATTTACTTGACGATGATTTTTACCGTAAACACAAAGATTGGTTCAATAATGAGCCGTTAACTGAAGAAATTAAGCAAATTGCTCAAGGTTCATACAAGCGAAAAAGTGGATATGAAGAAGGAATTCGTGGTAAAGGATATATTGTCAACGCATTAGAAGCTGCTTTGTGGGCTTTTTATAATGATAAGGATTCATTTGAAAAAGGTGCACTCGCTGCAGTTAACCTTGGTGATGATACGGATACAACCGCTGCAATCTATGGGCAATTAGCCGGTGCTTACTATGGATTCGAGAATCTGCCAAAGAAGTGGGCAGACAAAGTCTATGCAAAAAATTTCTTGAATTGTTTAAGTAAATGGGTTACTTATGAGGGAAATAAATGGCGACCGAATCGATCAATTCGGGCAAATGATTCTATGGAATCATCTCGTCCACAGAATGCAGATGCGAATATAAAGACAGCTCAAACACCTGATACTAACTTGCTAAAAGTACCTTCACAAGCACCACCTGTGGCAAAAAGATTATATCCACCTGAAGAACAAAAATCGAATAACGATCGCTCGCATGACAAAAATCCTGTGTCTAATGAAACAGCAAATAGTGTAGCGTCAAGACGAGATCCTAATCCAACTTTGTGCAAAAAA